AGGCAACACAATATTTCCGGAGATATTTCGGCACTACCAGCCCATGAAATCTTCGGTTTTAACATGTAATGAATGCACATATTTTCTGGGAGGCAACACAATATTCCCGGAGGTACTTCGGCACTACGAGCCGACGAAATCTTCGGTTTTAACATGTGTTGAGTGCACATATTCTTGGAGAGGCAACACAATATTTCCGGTGGTACTTCGGCACTACCAGCCGACAAAATCTTCGATATTTCCGTGTGTTGACTTCGGCACTACCAGCCGACAAAATCCTCAGTTTTAATATCTATTGAGTGCACATATTCTTTGGGAGGCAATACAATATTTCCAGAGGGACTTCGGCACCACCAGCCGACGAAATCTTCGGTTTTGACATGTGTTGAGTGCACATATTCTTTGGGAGGCAACACAATATTTCTGGAGGTACTTCGGCAACAAGGCGACGAAATCTTCGGTTTTAATATCTATTGAGTGCACATAGTCTTTGGGAGGCAACACAATATTTCCGGAGGGATTTCGGCAATACCAGCCGACGAAATCTTCGGTTTTGACATGTGTTGAGTGCACATAGTCTCCAAGAGGCAACACAATATTTCTGGAGGTACTTCGGCACTACCAGCCGACGAAATCTTCGGCTTTGATATGTATTGACTACACATAGTCTTTGGGAGGCAACACAATATTTCCGGAGGTATTTCGGCACTACCAGCCGACGAAATCTTCGGTTTTGATATGTATTGAATACACATAGTCTTTGGGAGGCAACACAATATTTCCGGAGATATTTCGGCACTACCAGCCGATGAAATCTTCGGTTTTAACATGTATTGAGTGCACATATTTTCTGGGAGGCAACACAATATTTCCGGAGGTACTTCGGCACTACGAGCCGAGGAAATCTTCGGTTTTAACATGTGTTGAGTGCACATATTCTCAGAGAGGCAACACAATATTTCCGGTGGTACTTCGGCACTACCAGCCGACAAAATCTTCGGTTTTAACATGTGTTGAATGCACATATTCTCCGAGAGGCAACATAATATTTCCAGAGGTACTTCGGCACTACCAGCTGACAAAATCACAATATTTCCGGGAGTACTTCGGCACTACCAGCCGACGAAATCTTCGGTTTTGACATGTATTAAATGCACATATTTTCGGGGAGGCAAAACAATATTTCTGGAGGTATTTCGGCACTACCAGCTGACAAAATTTTCGGATTTAATATCTATTGACTGCACATAGTCTCCAAGAGGCAACACAATATTCCCAGAGGTACTTCGGCACTACGAGCCGACGAAATCTTCGGTTTTAACACGTGTTGAGTGCATATATTCTTTGAGAGGCAACACCATATTTCCGGAGGTACTTCGGCACTACCAGCCAACAAAATCTTCGGTTTTAATATCTATTGAGTGCACATAGTCTTTGGGAGGCAACACAATATTTCCAGAGGGATTTCGGCTCAACCAGCCAATGAAATCTTCGGTTTTAACATGTGTTGAGTGCACATAGTCTCCAAGAGGCAACACAATATTCCCGGAGGTACTTCGGCACTACCAGCCGATCAAATCTTCGGTTTTAATATCTATTGAGTGCACATAGTTTTTGGGAGGCAACACAATATTTCCGGAGGGATTTCGGCACAACCAGCTGATGAAATCTTCTGTTTTAACATGTACTGAGTGCACTCCAGGAGGCAACACAATATTCCAGGAGGTATTGACCTTTAAATGCAAAGAAAGTGTCCTTTATACAGCATGCCTCATGCTATCCCTGCATACAGAGTGGCTGTCACCTGTCCGGCTATTATCTATTACCCGAAATGAATTCAAGTGATTAACAGGATTCTAGGCCGATATGGAAATATTGATTTATGGCCTACCTGTGTGCTACCGACGGTATTTGCAAAGTGTATCCCATTTTGTGCTGGAGGCGATGTCATCCGACTGGATTTCGGCTAGACAGGGATTACCAGGGCTAGGGTTATGGTTCCGCCGGATTCAGCATTTGTTACACCGAGCATTGGGCCCAACAATGCAATATAGCCTAATTACATATTGGGCCCAACAATGCAGTATAGCCTAATTAATACCATTGGAATATTGGGCCCAACCTTGGCTGTTGGGAGTTTATCATGGGCCCAATTCTTTTTGTGTATCCCTCATTGGGCCCAATTATGCTTCTCATAGTTTTGTTACCTTGGCCCCAACAATGCCAGCTTAACGTCTCACAGACATTGGGCCAAACTATGCCCAAATGGTGCCAACTACGATTGGGCCCATTGGGGTAGCCCTATGGTACATTGGACAATTGACCATGTGAACTACTATGGTCCCATTGGGTATCTACTGAATGCCCTGAGCTGCGAGCTGCGCTCATTTTTGAACGGCCCTGCTAAAATAGACCAGTAGCATTCTATTAGTATTATTACGATGGGTGGAAAAAGGCGGGCCAAGGTGGGTGGGCGAAGGCGCGACGAAGGTGGGCGGGTTCAGGGACGTGGCTAAATAACACGATCGATGAGCTGTTTAACTTTGGCATGAGCCTGGTGGAAAGTCGGAAAAGGCCGAGTCCAATGAATCTGTGTATGGTGCATTCGGAGTCGGAAGTGGATGTTGAACGTCGAACGTTATTTATGCAAATATAATACAAATGAAGAACTAAAACCATATTCAGACTCGGAGGACCCCTCGCAAAAATAACCAGACATGAGATTGTCGCCGGACGGGTTAAGAAATGGCGATCTTCTTCGGAGCAAGCTCAGCACCTAACTTGGGGAACGTTACAGTCAAAATGCCGTCCTCCATACTCGCCTTGATCTCATCATCCTGCAAAACACACGTTAGCCCGAAATATTCCACTCAAAAGTCAGTTGGCGGATCTAAATACCTTCACCCCCTGTGGAAGCTGCAACGTCCTCGAAAACTTGCCAAACCTCCGCTCACGAATCGCATACCCACCCTCATCATGCTCTTCCGAGATTTTGTTCTCAACCGACACGACTAAGCGGCCATTATGAATCTCGAGGTGAACGTCCTCCTTTTTCGAGCCTGGAAACTCGAATGTTGCTGTAACGAGGTTTTTCTCTTTGTCTTCGTGCAAATCCATTCTGTGTTTGTGTAGTGAGTATCTTTGAACTGAGAAAAACCTAGATTTTTTTACACGAACCTTGGCTTTAGACCACGGACGGCCCCTTCGGGTGTAGCATCGCTTTGCAGAGCGCACTTTATATTGTGGACGCCGTTGCGCGCTGTGCGCGGGGTGAAGACGTCGTCGATAAGGCGGTCAAAGTCGTAGTATGGCTCGTAGAAGACCGACATTATAGTGATGCGAGTGAGACGAAGACTGAAGCGGTTGCAGAGGCGTTCAATGGAATTATGTTGGGGTGCTAAGGAAGGTAGCAAAGCCTTTATAGCCCTCCAGGAGCAGAGCAAGAATCGTTTGGAAGGTTCGAGTTTGGTTCGAGTGAAATCTTAGTGAGGCTAGCGAGGTCTGGAACATATCCGAATGTGGTACAAGTTGTGTGGTAGAAGTTTCTGGAAACAGACTTAATCGTGGAGCGTTGGTTCCAGATGGGCTTTGGATGGGCTTATAGAGTTTTAGTGCTTCGTGCATTAACCCAGACGCGAATGTAGTGATACTCGAGTAGATTCAATATAGATTCGGTTGGAACTTGTTGGGGCCGAAGGAGGCGAGGTGTTGTTGTCACTTGTTGACATCTCTTCTACTCCTTGTTTTGTCGTGGTCACCTGACGAAATCTCTTGACGGTAGGATTTCTTCAAACACAGACCAAACACAGACGGTCACCGGTCTATGTCTAGATTTCCTTGTTACAGCATACAGTGCAAAGATGAAGCGTCAAAACAAAGGTCAAAATCTCTGCGTTATCGGACACCTGCTCGAAACATCTTTGCAATTCTGTTTCCAGACTCGCGTGTTCTTCCTGATCGCTGGAGCTCACTTATTCACGAAATTTCGATGTGACTCTAACTCATTCTGCACTTGGTCTCACTCGAAGTTTCTCCACTTCTGCTGGGGTATAAAAATGGTCGCTCCCGTCCGGGCCTCTCTCAAATCCACTCAAACATTCCACATCTGGACACTTTCACCACAAACCTATTACCTGCCTCACTACAATGTCGGTCTTCTACTACGAGCCATTCTACGACTTTTAGCGCTTCTTCGACAACGTCTTTTCTCCGCGCACAGTGCGCAACTTCGGGGGTGATCAACAGGTCGTCCCGGTTGACGCTACCTCTGGGGGAGCCGTTCGGGATCTGAAACCAAGGTTTGTTATGAGTTGTTCATACCCAGACTACAACTGTTAATCTTCAACAGGATGGATTTACACGAAGACAAAGAGAAAAATTTAGTGACAGCCACATTCGAGTTCCCAGGTTCGAAAAAAGAGGACATCCAGCTCGAAATTCAGAACGGCCGCTTGGTCGTGGCTGTTGAAAATAAAATATCGGAGGATCATAATGAAGACGGCTATGCAGTGCGCGAGCGTCGCTATGGGAAGTTTTCGAGGACACTTCAGTTACCACAGGGAGTTAAGGTATCTTTTTGATTGGGTTTCTTCAATGAGACTTCTACTGATGCGGATACCGTAGGATGACGAGATTCAAGCGTCTATGGAGAACGGCCTTTTAACTATCACGTTCCCAAAGACGGCTGCTGAGCTTGCGCCGAAGAAGATCACTATTTCTTAAACGCAGCCCGGGTGGTGTCGAAGTTGCAAAACGTTTTTTAATCCTTATAAAATGTTTTACATCGGCTTCATTCGTCTGAAATTCCTTAGAAATGTAGCACAAGGAAAAATGCATAACCAGTTTGTTGCGGAACGTCATTAACCTTGTGACTACTGTTTGCCATTCACCTAGCACAATTGTATTTAGACGCTACAGTTGTGTGACGGGAACCAATTGTTCCTCATTGGGACCGCTCCTGAATACATCTATCTGTCTATCTATCTATCCTAATGATCTTACTGATTGTCAAACTTTTTCAATTTAAAGAGAGCGCTATTACATGCTGGCGTTCCTCTTTACATCCCCAATCTAACTGGGTGGGTATCGTTATCTGTCCGTCCCGGAGCGCGCAATGCAAATATAACAAAATTTTCGACATACGTCCTCAACATTTTTTGACCATCAGCACCTTTTCTGCTATAAAATTGTATAGGCGCACCACTTCTATTGGATATGTTTCAAGCAAGCATTGAGCAAGCATGGGCTAAGCTGCCCGGCAAAGGTTTCCCCTCCCGGACAAACCGCAATGCGCTCGCGGTTATTTATCGGCCTTAGTGGTCGAATAATAGACGCTGGGCGATTGATAAACATCCTGCTTAGTGCCTGAAACGCCTAATAGATGTCGTTGCCACGCGAAGTCACAGCGGTTGTAAAGTACATAGTATGATATCGGTAAATTGAAGGACTTCCGGAGCGCTTAGTCTTGCAACCCTCTATTCAACGAAGCGCGACGTATTGATTCCTTGTGAGAGCAACAACAGGACAACCATACAAAAATCCGACCAAAAAGCTAACTCTACATCACGTTTATTCTACACAAAAAACAGGCTAACAAAAGGGAAGTCTAAGAGGAATCTCAACTCGCATTCGAGTATGCAAGCGAGTCGTGGGGCGCGTTAAAACAGATCAAAAACAAAATGACAGCGACAACGTGTAATTTGTATGCATACGTAGGACGGCGAGGGTGTGTGACAACGCAAGACAATTCGCGAAAACTTTGAAGAAAAAAAGGCGGTGGACCGCCGCTGAAAAAAAAGATAGGAGGTTGGTAACCACCCAGGCAGAAGGACAAAAATTATTTAAACTACAACGACCAACTGTCAGCATCACGGAAAATAAAAGCATTCTCAAAAAAGGGCACGCACCAGTACATAAAATAAACAAGAGATATCTATATCATCTCCATCCAAGTCTAAGGGGAGGACGGACGATCACTAAACCACTTTCATTTTGGCGTTCTTCTCCATCTCCTTCATTTTCGCTCGCTCTTCTTTGAAGAATTTCTGGCTGGCGGCGCTATCCACGTACTCTTTTACCAACATCATTTTCGGAAGCGGCGGGTCCTCCCCGGGGGTTAAAGGGATAGGCGCAGATGTGAAGTGGATGATCATGGTGTATTCATTGGCGTATGGTGCCCCTGCTATAGATTCGCCCTTTGAGGATGCCTACATGGGAGAAGTAATGAGTCAGATCATATAGACCAAGCGGAAAATGTCCAGAATCGGAACAAAGCGAAGAGCCGAAATGAAAAAAACGTACATGAACAGTCATTCTATGTCCCGCCTCAATTACTTCATGGATCGTTAACTGATATGTGATGGTGAAATGAAAGGGGGAGGTGATGCCGTAACGAAGATCGCCCAATAAATGACGAGATTGGAAGGTTACAACGGGGATCAGGAGAGAACCACCCGTTGCGTGCGTGCGTCAGTTCGCAAGCAGTCGGAGTAGCCGAACAGAAGAAGAGTGTTAGAAAATAGTTCGAAGGGAAGGAAAGAACAAACCATCATTCGAATTAATCAGCTCCACGATTTGATATAACTGAAGATAGCACTCACACGAAACTTGACGAAAAGCGGCATAGTCCCCTTGAAATATTCCCCGTACTGCCTTTTATTCAACACCGGCCTGCCGAGCGATTTAGGGAGGATGCGGTGTTCGAGGGATTCGTCAAAGCATTGCATGAGGCGGTCAAAGTCCCATGCGTGCACGGCGTCGACGTACGCGAAGAAGGCACGTAGGTACGGTGAGGGCGTCGGTGGCGGGACGAAGGAGTAGTTGGGCGATTGGCCTGGGTTGAACCCAGGCGGGGAGGACGAGGAAGGTGCTGCGCCGTTAGTGGTGGCGGCAGCTTGAGCCATCTTGGGGTCCTTTTTGTCTGCGCTTTTCAACCTAGACGCCGGCAACCTCAGTTGAATTACTGGACGCTGCTGTAGAATGGAACGATGTCATGAGTATGTCAAGGGGGGCGGGACAAGGCAGCTGACCTGAAGCATCAGCAGTAAACGGCCTGACTGACAATCGCGGGTGTGTGATGGGAGTGATCAGTTAACAGCAGTCGCGAGCGTCAATGGAGCAGTGAAGTCTGCACTGCTCTTAGGTTGGTGTGGATTCAAAAGATTTGTATGTCAGCCGAAGATATATAGAAGCGGAGATGGGTTTCTCCGAATACATTGGGGCTTTATACCTTTTTCATTTTTGTTTCCGGCGAAGTGAGAGGTGGACGCGACCAGGTTAGCGTTTCTCTTCCCTTCGACCCTGAAAGGCAAGTTTGGTGTGGCAAGCAGGCGCCGTTTCCCGACATCCTCAGTTAAGAAACCTCTTCTGCCATGATAAGAAAAAAGGCCCACTCGGTTATATTCCATCTTGCTCCATTTGTCCGATTTCGATCGAGAAGTGTCCCACTCGAATAGAAAAGTCCAGAGGGCCGTCATAGCGTCGTCAGCGTGGAGGGGTATCGTTGACAGGGAAAACAACATAAGGTTTTGGGGTGGTCACCTTTTTAGGAAAAGGGGGAGCAAGTGCGGGTTCTAAGGTTCTAGCCTAGATGGCGCCTAAATGAGAGCCGGACTTCTGGGCGGTGATTCGCTCAACAGCATGTACTTACATGGCGCATTGGGTGCGGATAAAATCTTCGCGGGAAGGATGTCTTAATTGACGAACAACACGTCGTCGAGGGGCGGAAATAAGGTAGCTGAAGGATCACGGAGATGATAATTGAACTCTTCGCACGGGTCACATAGGCTCTTAAGGGATAATAGAATGATCATAGGGTAGGAAGGGACAATACGCAAGTGTAAGTTTCATATTCAAGAGTTCGTGCATACTCTGGCCAGCTTTCGCTCAGACGACATAAACATTCTCCGTCTCGACTTCGTAGCCCTCAAGGGACTTGAAGTACTCGACGCGTGCTTGGCGATCCCGTTCAAATTTCTATCCCGAACGTCAGTTGATCATCGAAAGGAAGGGAGAAAAAAAAAACGTACCTCCTCAGTTTCCGGATCGGCTTCTTTCTTATTCTGCTTCATCTTTGAATTCGTCTTCGCCGTTTTCGACATAGGCTTGACAGTTTCCACCTTGGTCTTCAACTTCTGCTTCTTCTCCGGCGACTCGTTATCGTCGGCCTCAGCCTCTACATCCACCGCCTTGCGTTTGCTGCTCGCGCTCCTTCCTCTCCTCAGCTGCGTCCCTTCCTCCGTGGCGACCGCAGCAGCCCCAGAAATGCGAGCCCTCTTCTTGTCCTTCGCCTTCTCCGCCTCCTCCAGGAGATCTACCTCTGGTTCTTCCGCTTCGTCGTCAGCGTGCACATAGTCGTAACTCGTCTTTCTCTTCCTGGACTCTGCGAGTTTTGAAGGCGACGGGCTGCTTGGCGCAGAAGAGGTATGCACGCTGAAGATGTCTTTATCTGGATCTTCAATCCCCTCAAAAGATATCCGGCGTTTCTTCTTGCTCTTATGGGGTGTAGGGGGCGTGTGGAAGTATGGTCCCTCTTCCTCGTCTTCGTCCTCATCCTCCGCGTGAGCGTCAGCGTCGGTTACCTCCAACGCCCTCTTCTGCTCCTGTGATAAACGGGGTACATTCCTAGGCGACGACGTATCAGCCACCAGAATCAACCCCCCGTCTTCCCACTGGTCCTCGTATTCGTTATCCTGCTTCTCGTGCCGCTCTACTTTGAGTTTCTTCTCGAGCGCGAAGAAACCAAAGGGGTCAGAGTTTGTTAGGGTGGGGTTGTCATTGCCAGCTTCTTCCTCAGAGGGTCGGACGTCGAATGAGTTCCATGGGTCATAAGCCCCAGCTTCGTCCACGTCGTGCTCACGTTTATGAGCTCCGCTGAAGACATGCCCTGACGGGGACAAGAGATGCTGGAATGCACCTGGCAGAGGCTGGGCGTGTAGTGGTGAAGTGAATGAGGATGCAGAAGGGGGCGAGGAGGGCGGTAGGGGGGAGGAGAAGGTGGGACGGCTGACCACAGGGACTGCGTTTATGGCGTGCTCTGCAACAGGAGATGGTAACGCAATGGCAGAAATTACTTCAGCGGCTGCCTCTGACGAGGGAGTTATAGCGGCTGTGACACCCTGGCCTCTATTTTCCGCCTCTGGGGCAGGCACGAAATGTTTTGTGATGTCCTGCAGAGGCTGCTTCTTCTTCTTCGTCACCGTTATATTGCCTTTGGGTTTCGCTGCTACGGTCTTCCCCTTCGTTGCGGTCCTGACTGCTAACGTGGTCGAGATGCCACCCAACACCGTTCTCCCAGCCGTTGATCTGGTACCCCGCCGTCCAGCAGCGGTGTCATACCGTGGTTGTGCGCTCGAGACGTTTTCGTTCTCCTTCTCGCTCTCATGGTCGTGCGCGACGTTGGCATTGGCACTGTTCGCCGCGTCCCACTGTCTGCGGGTGATGTTTCTTGTTCGTGGCATGGTTCGTTGTCGTGTTCTTCTTCCTCTTCTTTTCGTACGAGTTCTTCGACGTTCAAATCCAAAAAAAAAAAAATTGAGTAGTGATAGAGTTATGTGTGTTGTGTCGAGCTCGACGATGCTGCGTTCGTTCTGAATCAAGAAAGTGTGCTGTAAATGGCGGTTGTGGTCGTTATGGTAGAAAGGAAGAGCGGGTGGGGTAGTCGTAGTATGCGGAAGGATCAAGTGGGCGCATGAAATTCGGGGGGAATAGGGGCGTGGGAGAGTGGCTTGAACCAACACTGCCAACAGACGCGTCGGTCACGTGGACGCGAATTCGCGTTCGCGTCGGTCACGTGGACGCGAATTCGCGTTCGCGTCGTAGTGCATTCGCATCCGACTTGCTTCCTTCCACGAGGAAAATCCACCAGATGGGGTTGATCCTCTTTTTCTCAGTAGTCCGATATTCCGGCGAGTGCTCGATGTTATCTCTGTTTCTGATAATCTCAATAGATCGAATCAATCGTTTTGGACCTCGGTAGAACTCCTGGATATATCACTCCAGATTCCATTCATCAACGGCAGTTCCTCTACGGTAAATTGAGCAAATGACATCATCCAGCACCGACGATACCTTGAGATCAACTTTTGGAGCCAGATATTTCATTAGGTACTAGTGTTATCTTTCTCTCATCATGTCGATCTTATTCACTTTACCACGGATACTTAGGGCATCGATAAAGCTCTTTGTCTTTGCGAGTTCCATCATACCATCCCAAATCCCATCTGTCAAGCGCAGTTCAACTAAAACTTCTAACAAATGACATCACTCAGCACCCAACGCACGATCGCCGCAATAGCCTGAAATTTGACTTTGCCTCGCAAGGTTGAAGAGGGGTAAGTTGACTTGATGCATATCACTGCGGCCGCTGCCCAAACCTTTCGTCTCGCGGAAAGATGCATGACGCCATACGGTGCTACCTCGCCGTTGAATTTCACACTCGACACGTCTAACTGGGGACCGTGGAGCGATGAACTTGATGAAGTTCCTCCAGACGGCGGACGTGGAATCAGATAATACGCCAATTGTCTCCAGCGTATACCTTCAAGACATCCCATTGGCAGGTCTAACTCACTCCACCATTCATCAACAACGATCTAATCTCTAAAATCCAGTCCATCCATCATGATCAATATTAATGAACTCAAAACCCACCGGGCGACTTACGAACCCCTCATCCCCGATACCAAGCCTAAGAGAAGATCCAAGCAATGCTCGCGGTTAAGGAAGGAAGGTCAGGGCGTCATCCATCTGTTTCATCCACTCTCGAAGGGCGTTGCGGGGTGATCGGCATGACGCGCACACGCACGATAAGGAACTGTGAAAGAAGCCTGAGGCTAACCAGAATCTGTCAAAATCCGGACGCCGCTGGACTTCAAGTTCGGACTCGGAGAGGTCCGTTTGGCAGGTGGGTGAAGTAAGATACCGGTAAGTCCCCGTAATCTACTATCCCCATTTCCACCGACGACTCGTCACTTGCGATAGAGGTGTTCCTCTGTTATAGAAGCCCTGCCCTTGTCTTTTTTTCTTTCGAAGGCTCTCTCTATGCACATGTGCGCTTCTTCTCCTCGGCGATCTTTCTTTAAACTAAGATAGTGCGCGGCGTGAAGCTTTCACCTTGAAGTATGTCGCCTGCGGTACCTCCTCACACGCGCCCCCCAATCCAACTTCAAGTCGACGCCTATCCTTTAGTTTCACATGTTCAAAAAATCGGTATGTAACGGCTGCGGAATTATTTTTGTCGTGGCGACTTTACTTCGGGAGTGAAGTTCCTTGACATAACGTCATGGACGGTTTGTTCTCCCCGTCTGATAACGAGAGGCCAGCCTCTTTTTTTAATATCTGATGGAGACCTTCGTAATACCTCTTCAAGTTCTCGTTGCGCATTGCGGTTCCCTCACTACTCCCAAGGGATACAATTTTGAGAACTGCTAGAACCGGCCTTTTTCTCGCACCCCTCGCTCGATACATCCTGCCGTCATGCATGCTCGCGTTTCTGAAGCGTTCGATCTTCAAATTGAGAATTGTCTTGACCATCCAGCCTCTCAAGGCGAATGTGCCAACGCTGGACGATTTTCCAATAAACCTCCTTCCAGTTTGGTCGAGGGTCTTGTGATGACGAAGGAACTGTTAAACGAGAACGTCATCTTGGAAGGATTTTCAAACTCATGACGAAAGCAATGATATCTAGTGTTGACGTAGAACACTTAGTATCGATTTGACTTTGTGCTACATATCAAAGAATTCGAAATGACCAGTACAAGATTTACACAAATAAGAGTCATGGAACAGATGTTACAGGTCGGAGAACCCCTCCCAAAGAAAAAAACCAACAGGACTTGAGCTCCATATTTACGAGATAGTGACCTTCTTCGGAGCAAGCTCAGCGCCCGACTTGGGAAACGTAACAGTCAAAATACCATCCTCCATCCCCGCTTTAATCTCCTCATCCTGGCAACACGCGCGTCAGCTGAAAAAACCCACTCAAGCAAATTCAAATTACCTTGATGCCCTGCGGCAACTGCAAAGTCCTCGAAAACTTCCCATACCTCCGCTCGCGCACCGCATAGCCACCCTCATTATGCTCTTCCAATATTTTATTCTCAACTGACACAACTAGACGGCCATTATGGATCTCGAGATGGACGTCCTCCTTTTTCGAGCCGGGGAACTCGAATGTGGCTGTTACAAGGTTTTTCTCTTTGTCTTCGTGCAGGTCCATTCTGTATTTGAAAGGTAGTTGGTAACTTTGAACAAAATGCCTAGATTGATTTTCACGAACCTTGGCTTCAAAGCCCGGACAGCCCCCTCGGGGGTAGCATGGCTTTGCAGAGCCTGTCTCTGGTCACCGCCGAAGTTATGACGCGCTGTGCGCGGGGTGAGTATATCGTCGAGAAGGCGGTCAAAGTCGTAGTATGGCTCATAGGAGAAGACCGACATTATACTGATGTGAATGAGATGAAAGGTTTAGAGGTGTTTGAAGCGAATTTTTCAAGTGAATGTTGGGGGGTAGTAGGGCAGGTTGCAGAGCTTTTATAGCCCTCCAGACTCCAGTAGCAGAACGTCATTTCCACTGTCATAAGTGTTGCAGAAGAATGGTTTAGAAGTTTCGAGTGAAGCGTCTGGAACATATCCGAATCAGTCAACAATTAGTGATGTGACGGCGCCGACATTGGCCTGAAGCTGTAGCTTTGGCCCGGCTTTCGAAATCTTTGAGCTCTAGGCCCAAGCCAGCCAAAGCCGTTCGTGGCTCGGGCTTAGGCCACGGCCTATATGCAAGGAGTAAGGGGGAAAAACGTTGCAAGTGGTGTAAGTACCTGTCGATCCTCGTGTCAATTCTCGAGAACAAGTGATCATCAGGAAAATGGTCAAGACCTACCTATGTAGATCTATGACGCATGGATAGGAGTCCATCAACCTTCAACCTTCAAGGGCTAGAACTAGTGTTGTTGGCGAAACTTCGCCATCTCGTCTCGCCACGCCTCGCCACCTGGCGATTAGGTTCGTTCCAAGCCACCGTTCTTCTGCGGTGTGTTTGCTGCGCAAACGCAATGTTTGGCTGCGAAGGTGTCCGGGAACCGGACCGCAGCAAGGCGGCTTGCTCCGAACCTACCTGGCGATAGCCAGGTGACCAATTCAATAAGCCACAACAAAACACAATAACGCGTCAACAAGTGCTTAAAAAAAACAGCCTCAATTGGTAGGTTTAACTCCTCACTCCACCATTCATCGACAATGATCTAATCTCTAAAATTAAGTTCATCCATCAGGATCAACATTAACGAACTCAGAGACCCACTCGGCGAAATACGAACCCCTCATCCCCGATACCAAGCCTATTCCTAGGCTCCCTGAGAGAAGATCCAAGCCATGCTCGCGGTTTAGGAAGGAAGATCAGGGCGTCTGGTATCTATCTATCTAATTCATCCACTCTCTCTGAGTCTTCTTTGTTCCAAGAGCTTTGCGGGGTGATCGGCATGACGCACACGGCGCACGATGATAAGGAACAGGAACTGTGAAAAAAGCCACTGAGGCTACAGTGTCTTTCACTGCCGTTTGCACACACGAATCGTAAATTTCGTGTTTGCCTCTGTTGTCCTCAGGGTTTTTCTGTCACATATTGGCCCAGAACAGATGAGTTGATCTTGGGGATCTTGAGTGAACCAGCGTCCGACCTCACTCTAGCCCTTGCCCATGGCAGCTCAAGTCTCTGGATACATGATCATCTGGCATGCAGAAGAATCCCTTTTTCCTCGTGAAATTGCTGACCTGCAGATGTTCAATTTGCCGTGACAAAAAAACCTGAGGGTAACAGGTACAACAGAAGCAAACACGAAATTACGATTCACGCTGTGCAAACGGCAGTGAAAGACACTGTAACCAGAATCTGTCAAAATCCGAGTTCGGACTCGGAGAGGTCCGTTTGCCAGTCAGTAAAATACCGGTAAGTCCCCGTAATCTACTATCCCCATTTCCACCGACGACTTCGTCTCTGGCGATAGGTTTCCTCTGCTATAGAAGCCCTGCCCTTATCAGTTTCTTTTTTTTTTTTTTTCAATGGCTCTCTTTATCCACATGTCCGCTATTTCTCCTCGACAATCCTTTTTTTGCATCAAGATAGCGCGCTGCTGCAGCGTGAAGCTTTCACTTGATTTTAATAGTACATCGCCCGGGTGTCTCCTCACACGCGCCCCCACTGAATGCCACTCGACCCCTATCCTTTGGGCCTCACATGTTGTTGCCTAACCTCACAAGGTAAACCTAGTATGTAATAGCTGCGGAATTATTTTTGTCGTCGCGACAAGTTTACTTCAGGACTGAAGTTCCTTGACATAAGTAACGTCATGGACGGTTGGTTTGTTTTCCCCGTCTGGGTATGAGAGGCCGCCTTTTTTTTATATCGCCTTCGTCATACCTCTTCTCGCTGCATGCGCTTTGAGGTTTCCTGACTACTCCGACGGGATACAACTTTCTTGAGAACTGCCAGTGCTGGAACCGGCCTTTTCCTCGCACCCCTCGAGACACCCTGTTTTTTTTGCATCCTCCCAGCGTTTGCTTTTGAATTAATAGTTGTTTTGACCTCCCAGCCTCCCGGAAGAGAATGTGCCAACGTTGGACTGTGACGATTTTATCAGAGTAGGTTTGCTCGAGGGTCTTGTGATGACGAAGAAACTGCCAAGCAATAATATCTAGGTATTGACGTACGTATAACCTTCGAATTCTGAAAGAAAAACTGAAGACCCCTTGATAAGCTAGTTATTCATGTCGCTCAAAGACGTTTAGTCTCCATTCTTCCCGTTGTAACCGACTCGGAAATTAAAAGGCACCAGACATTGTAGATGAAACAGGTTGTACGGAAGACGTAACTTTTATCATTGGCGCTGCACGTACCTGTCTTCATTTCATTTCTTACGAAAGAGTTTACTCAACCAAAAAAGTCAATATGTTCCTTAACTGTTCCTGTCAAGTTCCTGTCCGTTCACAACGGCCCCTAGCAATAAGCGCCTCTGTCTCCAAGTAGATTTGCACCCCCATCATATATCCGCCGGATATCACCCTCTTCACTCGTACGTTCCAACCGCGAACGATTTTCAATGATCCGACGCGTCGAGAGGTTTATACGAGGCGCCAGGATCACGTGGTATCGGACTAGGAACCGGGTATGTGTAAAGCCGACGATGTCAATGTCAGGGTCATTATCGTCCGACATCAGTTCTCTCAAGAGCTTGAATTCTGGCAAATTCGAGCATAGAGGACTCCGGAGGAGTACACTAGGGCGTAAAACGCACTTAGAGACAGGCAGACTTGGCGGGATCAACAACATTGAAGCGAGTGGTGTGTTTATTCCGTCTTCAATGTTCGGCACAACACAAACGCAAGTAATCACATATCCATCGAATGATGAGTCTCCCCCACCTCCTTATTTTTCAAAAAAGTCGTCCCAGATCCGTTACCCCATAACTAACCCCAACCGCCAAGCGACTAAACCACGATAAAAAGATCAATCTACCCAGAGTGAACGCAACCAAAAAAAATTCATGGCTTCACTCCTCGCACGCACTCCCCGCCTCAAAAACGACCTTTCCGCACTCCTCATCAGCGGAAGACGACGTATGAGCGTACGGCCCCCCGTCAAAGACCCAACGACCCCACCCATCCCGCGCAAAAAAGTGACGATCCAAGCGCTCCGTGCGCTACGGCAGTCCAAAACACCCATCGCGATGTTGACGGCATACGACTACCCCTCTGCGCTCGCGTGCTCCTCTTCGACGTTAACGGACATCACCCTCGTCGGTGACTCATTGGCACAAGTGTGTTTGGGGTACGCATCCACTACGCAGCTCACCCTCGACGAGATGGTGCACCACGCCAAGGCAGTGGCGAGGGGGACGACGCATCCCCTCTTGATCGCGGACATGCCGTTCGGGTCGTACCATACCTCCGTGAGCGATGCGGTGGCCAATGCGGTGCGGCTTGTAAGGGAGGCGGGTGTGGAGGGCGTGAAGCTGGAGGGAGGACGGGAGATAGTGGATGTGGTGAGGAAGTTGACGGAGGTGGGGATTCCGGTGATGGCGCATGTGGGGTTGCTCCCGCAGAGGCATAGTGCGTTGAGCGGGTACAAGGTGCAGGGGAGGAGCGTGGAGGGTGCGAGGAGGGTGGTGAGGGATGCGTTGGCGCTTGAGGAGGCCGGGGCGTTCTCGATGGTTGTGGAGGCGGTGCCGAAGGAGTTGGGGCGGTATATTACGGAGAGGGTGAGGATACCGACGATTGGGATTGGGGCGGGGCCGTGGACTAGTGGGCAGGTACGGGTAGCGCGGGCGTATATTGCGCGATGGTTTACTCACCTTCTCCTTCCTCAGGTTTTGGTGTTTGACGATGTGATGGGCACTTGGTCAGGGCACAAAGCCAAATTTGTGCGTCGCTTTGCGAATATGAAGGATGTTAGGGATACCGGGGTACAGCGGTATGCGGAAGCGGTGAGGGATGGAACATTTCCTGACGCAGAGGCGGAGAGCTACGCGATGGATGAAACCGAGTGGGACAAGTTCCTGCATAGCGAGGGCATCCACGTGCAACGGGGAAACGCTGGAGATCGGGCATAATTTACCCAGTATCTATTCTGCTGGATCTGTTCTCGATATTGTGCTATCTGGAATCGTAGAAAGAGCTATCTCATGCACTAGTTGCCAGCAAGTGAATTTTGGTTCGATTACATATGTAGATAGGCAAATAAATATCTAATCTTATCAGTTTTATTTATTTATGTAAACACTCCGAGTCCTTCCTCTCAATCATCGTCCAGCAATGGCGGCCAACGCATTGGCAATATGAAGATTCCGCACTGAACACTTCGTCCCTAATACCCTAACTTTGTAAAACCCCCGCCAGTTTGCGCCCAAATAACGCGTTGAGCACTGGCAGATCAAGAAGTTACACGGCTTCCCATTAAACTGAGGTGGGCGGCAACGCTCTCCGCTAGAGACTTCCCATTGGCTATCACTATCTTTTGGGCGAAGGCTTTCCAATACTGAAACAACGCTCCTGCATTCTTTGTTCTATTCTCAACTTGGAAGAGCCCATCTTGTTCAGGTCTTAAACACTATCGCCTGTGCGCATTGTCTTAATCTGCACATCTCTCAATCCCTCTCAATCCCTCCATTCAACTGGTTTCACACCAACATATATCATCGCTTCAACTCTCAGGTCTGCTTCACCACCCCCTGCTCGTGTCCATCACTCACGTTTTCACAAACCACTCTCCCCCTTCGCAATGGCCAATCCTATCCGTGCATGGGACTACATCAGACCCCCCGGTGAATTTCAAGCACTCCAAAAAATCCCAGAGAAGCCGATGTCCTTGAGTCAATCTGCGGTTACGTTGATGGACGTATCGTCCACCCAGAAGAATTGGGTTTTCGCACAGTACGTGTATGCTTCCTTTTGTTGTTCCAGAGGTTGGATGCTGATCGGCAAGTGTAGTTTTATGGTTGGGAACACTTATGTACGACTTTTACTTTTCACGACCTGTTGCCTCCCGAGTAATTGTATTCCAGCCGTACACTGTTGGTGATTGGATGGAAGATATCAAGCTCGCTGCGTCCCAAGATCTGTACGTCCTTTGTCCGTCTGTCTCTTTACTGCACCTATGTCTCATTTCCTTGTTCCCGACAGCGACGGCTTCGTCCTGAACGTAGGCCCAGAATCATGGCAACAAGCACGCGTTGCGGATTGTTTCACTGCCGCCTCTCAACTTTCCGAATCGACCAACTTTCGCTTTTTCTTCAGTTTCGATATGAGGTGCGTCTTCATCCCCCCTTCCTCTTCCCATTATTTCATCTCTCACTGAAACCAAATCACCAGCTCAATCCCCGGAACCACAGCCCAAGACGTCCATCTCCTCAAAGCGTACTACGCCCCCTTTGCGAAGAACCCTCGTATGTTTAAGCACCCACGTTCAGGTGGAGTGGTCGTTTCTACGTTCTCGGGAGAGAATAGTACGTTCGGCCAGGGTTCCATGGAGAAAGGCTGGGCTTATGTTAAAGCTACTTTGGGCGCCATAACTCCGGTGCGTTCTTTTGTGTCTTAATTTCCATGGCGGATAGTGGTGCTGATGGTGCATGGAAAGGTATACTTCGTCCCTTCACTATTCATAAACCCCGCGCGATACCCAAGAATCGCGGCTCTTGATGGGGCATTCAACGTAACTCATCTTGCCCCCTCCTTTTCAAAAGGCCATCATTTTTGACCAATTTTATTTTAATTGCAGTGGAACGGTGGCTGGCCAATTGAACTCACCCCCACTCACCCACGCGAACAAATCGTCAACGCGAAGCTCGATTCCGACGCCGTACATATCCGGAATTTGACGGGCGGGCGGACGTTCATGGCTGCTGTGTCGCCGTGGTTCTTCACTGTGAGTTCCCTTTTTTGCGCTCTTTGCCTTCAAGCTTAACATTCCAAAGCATTACGGGCCTGATTCTTGGAATAAGAACGTGTGTTATTATCTTTTTTGTGTAGTGAGACCATACTTATTGGGTGAAAAAGTGGATATATCGTGGAGACGATTGGCTGTTTGTGAGGCGGTGGGAACAGTTGATAGCGATGAGGGACCGCGTTGATATCGCGCAGGTTATTTCTTGGAATGGTGAGTTTGTAACACTTGTTTTTCATATTGCCTTCCATCTTTTATTCCTTTTGAGTGGTTAAATCCCTTGACTCCGCTTGGATTCCATCCTTGTCACCTGATTCTATTTGTTCAATTTTCGAATGATGTGGCGGCTTCCCAGAAACGCTAATCCCTCTTTGCCAATCCAGATTATGGCGAGTCACATTATATAGGACCCATTAAAGGTGCCCAACCAAATTCCCAAGCATGGGTCGATGGCTACCCGCACGAAGCCTGGCTCCGACTTAATAGCTACTTCGCTCGCGCATTCAAGGAAGGAACGTACCCTACCATCACGAAGGACGAGATATACCTCTGGGGCCGGCCCCATCCCAAAGCCACGGGTTCAGCTGACCACGTTGGGCGTCCAAAGAATTGGGAATTGGTACGATATCTCTTTCCTTTTTTTACATCGGGTGAGATTCACGACGAAAACCTTTGATGAATAGACTGACGACTTGCTTTGGGCCGTCGTATTTGCTACTGCGCCAGCTACGGTGGAGTTGTACACCACGGAGACGCGTAAACACACATTCAGCGTCGCGCCGGGGATGACGAAGCTTTCGTGCCCTCTTAAAGCAGATGGGGGGATGAAGGCGACGATGATTAGGGATGGGGAGGTTGTGGCGAGTTGTAGTCCTGTTGGGTATCGGTTTGAGAGCAGGCCTGGGGTGTATAATTTCAATGTGGTTGTAGCGGTGTCGGCGTGAATTGTGACAAATGTATTAAAAAAAACCTCCGCTCAAACGTCAAAGTTTAATCTGAAGCTCTATGCCCCACCACAACAAACTGATTAAAGATGATTTGGGAGAGTAGTATTTAAGGTTTGAAAGTCTTAGTGGGGCTTTTGATCTCACCCTAGCAAGGTTCTCTTGGCGACGCGCTCAGGAACCTCCAGGTTCACTGTCACGGTGTCAGTGCCTTGACAGATATAAAATGTGGGTTTCTCACACCATAGTCAATTCCACATTCCCCTTCGTCGAATCGTTGTGACCGTTCACTTCTCCAAGCCCACGAAAAGGTCGATGTACCCAATTTTCTTAACGCTCAGCGCCCTGCTCTCGCTTGCAGCAGTGCACGCAACGGACCAACTGTCTGGTGTGCCCAGCTGCACTTTTAACTGTCCGACAGAAGACCTGGCTAGCTTTCCACTGGGTGACCACATGTACAGTGACGATGGGGCCTCTTTGTTCTGCAGCTACCCCGCTTTTCCAGGTGGAGGGGCAGGTGACTTCTCCTGCACATACGACGTCAGTCTTTCCCATGATATGATTCGTTCATTTCAACTTAGATCCTTCAATAGAGTACCGGCGCACTTTCGCAGGACGGCGACGCAGGTTTTTGTCCCAAGGCAGCAATCTCCTCCTGCCACGAAGCCGATTATAATATCCCACCCCAGTCTTCAGCCACTCCAACGACAACACCCGTCACTCACGTACCGGACGAGCTATGAAATCTCGGGCACACCTGTAGAATGACTGGCAGGTTGAAGAGCAGGTTCAGGCTTAGCAACTCCGGCCCATGAAGTATGTCGGGGACAGGCCAAAAGGAACACATCGGGAACCTTGCTCGTTAGGCGTCTTGATTTATCTTTATTCTTCACACATCTACCATCCTCTTTACCTGATCTCAGCCCTCTTCATTTAGTGCGGATAAATCTATCTGAGAACCTCTTCGAACATAAACATCTTCCTACGTTGTATTTTTGGAACTAAACACAAATCTAGCCACGTTGATCTATTATTGTCCTACCAAATTTTTTATGGGGGTTGGGTAGCGCAACCGTAGGCCCTAGATACATATTGAAATCCATCCTACACACCACAATAAAAGGAGCAACATTGGAATCACTCCTCCCTGGGTTGGGTGAAAAATCTACTCAGTCCATCAACACATTAACACCAAAGAAGATTGTCCTCTGCCTGTCCGTCACCAATTAGTACGAGGATGAGATAACGAGTCGCGAAGGAAAACCTCATGTACGCTCTGGATAGACATGAGCCCACTCAACATCCCCACCACAGAGGCGAAAGGCTTTTACAGAAGTACACGCCTTCCCGATGGAAGGGACGAACCCAACCTCCCCGGAAAAAATTGTGACCAAAGCCAGATCTCGAAAACAGCGTCCCACAAAGCTGATGTCCCGTAAAGCAGGGAACAGCCCAAGCCACCTCGGAAGGAGGTTCAGAGTCAGATCGGAAAAGGAGCCGTCCAGACTATCGATACGCAAGTACTTCACACAATGTGTTGAAGCTTCTGGTCGAGCGACCTCTAAATCGTCTTCACTTTGCTGAATTCCACTCTGAAGCCACGCGTCCAACATCGGCGCATAAGAGGTAAATTCAAGGGTGAGTGAAAGGTCCTGCTTGCACTCTGAAATCATTTGGAAGGCACTTTCTAAGCGTGTCAAGCCCAAATGCCTGTCTCCAGCAATGATGCGCACGGATTGGAGGGAAGGAAGAGAACCTGGAGAAGGTAGGTATAATGCGATGCAATCTGGTGACGACACCAATGTTTCAACACTGAAAAGGGCATCCCCCTTTAAGCGAGGTGGGTGGCTGGGGATGAACATGTTATGATGAAACTCCAAAGAACGAAGAGAAGGATGGCGAGCAAAGAAACATGCCAGTGTAGGAGGTGGTACAGCGCAATGGGTCACAGAGAGCGTAGGGAGGTTAGGGATTCGTATCTGCTCAAGGCAAGCTGCCCATCCTTTCGAATTGTAAACGTACTTGATGGAAAGATCTGTAAGATTGCTAGATGTGTTGAGTAAACGGACGTAGTAGGTTTGCAGGAAGGGAGGGAAATGTTGCAGGTGACATTTCTTCAGAAATGTTGGCGAAGCTGCGCGGACTGGTTTGTGTTTAGCGAGAACACCCGGGTTGAAGGTTGGGAAGTAGGATTGAAAGGACTGGAGTCCAGACTTCAATAACGATGGTGAAGGCGTCGATTGAGACCGGATAGTTTGCCAGATTAAGGACTCCATATACTTCAACTCCATCTCCGTGCACGATTTGAGTGGCAAGAGGTTCAGCAGGCTCACTATCACGGCCTCCCACTCGGGCGAACATGGGTTCATCATTTGAAGCGAAAAGTTCCCGACATGCGACAATTTCGAGACGTACTGAAGTAGGAATCTTGCTTCACGTGTCATTGACTGGGGCGATTTATAGTTGGATGTCAAGTCGCAACGGAGACGCTTCAAGGACGTGCCGTTGATTTGAAGAGACCTAGCGAGTGCCTCCAATACGACTTGTGCAGACTCGGAATCACCATTAGTAGGGAGTAGCGATATTTCGTCACTGAAGGGGTCGCAGTTGTTCGTCGAAAACAGAAATTGGAGGCATGCATAGTGAAAGTGTCGACAAGTGGAAGAAAGGGCGAAGATATCAATGGTGGAAGAAACGAGGCTGAGTATGTGGAGTAAAAGTTCATTTGGCATCGCCTGAAAGGATGCAGCGCATGAGGTCTCCATCTCGCCTGCGAGGTTGTGATGGTTGTCGAAAAGAGCACTGAGCGGTTTATTTGTTCCCGTTTGAAGCTGCACAGGAGCCAGTCCAAGCCAAGCGAGAGCTCAGCCCAAATCATCACCACACCGCGCCGATTTTGACCATCTTCCCCAGGACCTGAGCTCTAGGTAAACCAGAATCTTTCTGTTTGAAATCATCGTTGAGAAAATCATCTTCTACCTGTCATTCCAAGCAAATTCCAAGCATCTGTCACTTGTCCATCACCAGGCCGCAGTGATCACACAACTTTCAAGTTCCTAGTACCGCAATCGCCCTTAGACGCTTTACCCTGAAACTCGCATAAAAGATCTTCTGTTAGACCTTGGGTGAGTTTTCAAAGCGGACGGTTGTAGTGTTGACTTAGTCACAGCAATTTGCAAAGATCCACTCTCCAGCACAACTGCCACAACGAGTGTCAACTTTGATTCTACTACTGATAACATTGCACGTACTCGGCTTCTGATTCCCAGATTTGTATGCTGCGCATCTACTTTTCATTAGATCTGTTAGCGCGGCAGGGCGGAATAAAGCAAACTCGGGCAGACGTGCAGAGACACGAAATTGTACAATTTCTCTCATTACAAAAGTCATGGTTACACAGTGGCCGCAATCCAATTTAGCGCGACTGCCAAAGGCCACCGGCGCGTTGATTGACCATTGTTCTCGCACCTGACTCTGTTCAACGTCCCAATTCGGGAATGTGGCCTGTCGCATGGACCTTTGTCCACTGTGGTTTATCAACGCGTCACAGATTCCTTCAAGAGTCTCTCGAACCCCAACCACCACCATTAGCAAGACCAGTAAGTTCAAGTTTTCTACATGGCCCTTTTTTCTCATGATTCACGCGCTAACACGGTAAGCATCATACCCTCTCAGGCTCCCTCTCCAAATTGTTGAAGCACGCCCACTCATCATCGTTGTTTCAGTATGAAATATGCCCTGTTGCTCTCCTCAACTTTGAGGTACTCCCGTTCCCCGCCCGTGCCCTCGACTCCGATATTATCCCCGAAGAGGAGATGCACACTCTCTTGGATTATGGGTGCTTGAATGAAGAACGGCATCCCAGAGGTGCGATGGGTGTCATGTTCTCGCGACCCCATAAGGCAAAGAAGACAAGGTTCAATAGAGTGAGCCTCTACTATACATTCCTTGTCATCGTTGCTGATTTTTTGCAGTCGTTCCCAGACGCTTGGAACATTAAAGGCCTGGCGGCCTTTGCGAATGATCTCCAGCCTGCCAAAAACGTTCTAAAATCTACTATTGCGCCTACTCTACCCCAACGGACACGCGTGTTTAGCCGTCCCCCGACTCGCAATGTGCCAGTGGCACCTCAAATTTGCAATGCCACCAAACCCTCTCCATCACCACGCTCCATCGAGCATCGTCGTCTCCGACCTCGCGCCGCATTAAGACCTTCACGCCGCATGAACGAAATTTAATTTCCCGTGTATATTGCATGCGAACTATATAGTATGGAGCTGATGAAGACGATCCTCGTGACAGAGTGGTCAATTGTACCAATTCAAGTTTTCTTTTTTTTAGGATACTGTGTCATTTACCTTGGTCATTAGAAGGAAAGAAAAGTGATACAGGTTGTACTTGATTTTGAATATGCGGCTCACATCGTTTGTATAAGTAGTTACTATCGGATTCGTACTGTTTGAATTCGAGGATTTGCAGGGATTTGCTCAAATTGCTCCCGAACTTTGCCGTGTGTCAATCGTATTCTGCCTCGTGTTTCCTCTTTCGTTGCTCACCCCACCACTGTCCTCCACATCGAAATTCGCTGACCCACCATGAGCGCGGCCACCCCTTCTGCAGAAGCTCTTCCAAATGTTTCTGTTGATTCTCTCGCTAAACACGTTGGAGTCGTCGATGATGGGCAAGGCGAAGTACCTGATTCTACGAGGAGCAAGCTTTTAAAGATGCAAGTGACTAACACTGCAGCAGTTTATAATTTGTAAAAACGCGTGAATGACGCGTCGCATTGCCTTGTAGATTGGGATCTTGCAACGTCAACCACGCACACTGCAGGTTCCCATCCATTAGTGAGTTCAAGTTAATGTTGGTTCAAATTAAGATCCCAAGCGCCTTCGGACAGTGAACTAGCAGCGAAGTATCTGCCCGATCTAGTACAGCTCTTTCGATCCAACTCTGGCGTCTTCAGTGCGCCCATGACACTCTTGAATATCATCTCATATACGTATGTTTGCTCTAAGCCCTCGACCTGATTTAAAAACGCGAGACGAAAACTAGACCATACTTCGTTCGCTTCCTTCGTTCTCCTGCCGGGCAAGGCATAGCTGCTCTCCAAGCCAAACGCACTGCCGAGTCCGCGGCCGAGATCGATGGCATGGACGCCAATGACGTTCTTGAGACCATCCTGTTCCTCTCGACGATCCTCCTTCTTCAAACCCCTCAAGAAGTTGACGAAGCGGACAAGGAAATCCTGGTAAAAAAATTGCAGCAATGGGCGCAAATGTCCCCGAGCCGCCTGGTCTCGAGCGCCTGTGAAAGATGTTTAGCCCTCTTAACCAACGACCCGTAAGTTCTTGAGTGTTTTTTTTTCTCGACCCCACCATGACATATTTCAATAGGAGCACGCGTCTGCTGATGCAATGCTCGAAGCAGTATTTGGAGCGTCGTTTAGTTCTATTCGGAACCGGACACTGTACCCGGACCGTTCAAGACAATGGTGTGGACCTTTTGCAATGTGCAAGGCAAGTGATACGGTTGTGCGGGTCGTACTCAGTTCATCTGTGATTGAGTAATGCTAACCATTTAGTTGTACTTTTTCAGATGCAAGTCTGCGGTCTATGTGAGTTCTCTCCAACAATAATCAATGCCTTAGCCTGGAGCTGACCACACGCCTTCTATAGTGCGGTGCAGCTCACCAAAAGGCCGCCTGGAAAGACCACAAATCTTTATGCTTTCCTTCGTCATTCTGATTTGACCGTCATGGGCTTGTCTGTAGTCGTGGGATCCTATCCAGTAGGTATGTCAAGCACCCGCTCGAACTACGAATGGTACCCATCTCCCAGTTCTCAGGGGGCGTTATGATAATTTTGCTGGTAGACTTGCAAGTTGCAAGCGACCTTATCCACCCGTACCCTCCTTTTCCCGGTTCCCCGAGCTCTCAGCAATTCCAGACCGCCAAGTGCCTTTACCATGGTCTTACAGTGACTCGTTCCCGAAAGACTTGCCATACCACCGATGACTCGAGCCACTTGGGTGACGGCTTTAATTTACGTTTGCTATCTCGCTCAAGCTTTACGCCGCGTGAATGAAATTTAATTTCCCATCTATATTGCATGCGAACCAAATTATGGAGCACGACGATCCTCGTTAGAGTGGTCTCAGCTCAGAGATACTCATTGCAAGGAAAGAAAAGTGGTAAAGGTTGTACTTGGTTTCGGTGCGGCTCATATCGTTTGCATCAGTAGTTACCATTGTGGTGTAGAATTCGGGGATTTGCTCAAGTCGAGCACAAATTGCTCCCGAAGTTTGCCGCGTGTCAATCGGTTTTCAATTTACGTCGTCACATAGTATGTAATAGACTAGTTTACTGTTCAGTTGCCTCGTGTCTCCTCCTTCGTTTCTTTCACCACCATCCTCCACATCGAAATCCGCTGACCCACCATGAGCGCGGCCGCCCCTTCTGTAGAAGCTCTTCTAAACGTTTCTGTTGATTCTCTCGCCAAACACGTTGGAGTCGTCGATGATGGGCGGGGCGAAGTACCTGACTCCACGAGGAGCAAGCTTTTAAAGATGCAGGTGAGTAACACTGAACCAGTTTACCGTGTAAAAACGCGTGAATGACGCGTCGCATTGTCGTAATTTGTAGCTTGGGATCTTGCAACGTCAACCACGCACGCAGCAGACTCCCATCCATCAGTGAGCTCAAAGTTAATCTTGTTCCAATTTAAGATCCCAAGCACCTTCGGAAAGTGAATTCGCAGCGAAGTATCTGCCCGATCTGGTACAGCTCTTTCGATCCAACTCTGGTGTCCTCAGTGCGCCCACGACACTCTTGAATGTCATCTCCTACACGTATGTTGTTCTACGCTCTCCCGCTGGTTTGAAAACGTGAGACAATTACTAGGCCATACTTCGTTCGCTTCCTGCGTTATCCTGCCGGGCAAGGCATAGCTGTTCTCCAAACCAAACGCACTGCCGAGTCCGCAGCTGAGATCGATAACATGAACGCCGACGATGTTGCTGAGATCACCCAATTCCTCTCGACGATCCTCCTTCTCCAACCTACCCCAGAAGTTGACGAAGCGGACAAGAAAATACTGGTAAAAAAATTGCGGCAATGGGCGCCAAAGTTTCCGGGTCGCCTGGCGTCGAATACCTGCGAAAGATGTCTAGCCCTGTTAACCAACGACCCGTAAGTTCTTTGGTTTTTTTCTTCTTGACTCCACCACGACGTATTTCAATAGGAGGACGCGTCTGATGATGCAAGGCACGAAGCAGATTTTGGAGCGTAGTTTAGTTCAATGCGGAGGCGGACATTGTACCCAGACCGTTCAGAACAATGGTGCGGACCTTTTGCAATGTGCAAGGTAAGTGACACGGTTGTGCGGGTTTCTCAGGCCGTACTTCATTTGTGATCGAGTTATGCTAACCTCTTGATTGTGCCTTTTCAGATGCAAGTCTGCGGTCTATGTGAGTTCTCCCGAACGACAATGCCTTAGCTTGGAGCTGACCACGCGCCTTCTATAGTGCGGTGCAGCCCACCAAAAGGCCGCCTGGAAAGAACATAAATCTCTATGCTTTCCTTCTTCATTCTAATTTGAATTGTCTAGTCATCGAATCGTATTCAGTACGTTAAGCACCCACTCGAACTATGAATGGTACCCACCTCCCAGTTTTCAGAGTGCCTTAAATAATAAAATTTGCTTCGAAGGATCGAAATCGTGGGTCGTGTGCAAGAATTCTCTTTCCAGGGTGGCGAAATGCGTCCGTCCGTGAGTCGGGAGGAATCACATTCTTCTTTACGACGTTGAAACGTGTTGGAAACGTGAACGATTTTTGTTTTCGTGAGTTTGGATCACTCTTTCTCTCGTAAATCCTTGGCCGTTTCTACAAACCAGGGTTAAGTGTGCAACGAGTCCCATTCTCAACGCCGGAATTGAGACCCGCGTCATATTTTGCCAGTTCAATGACGGAGGTTTCCGTTCCGGCGGCAGAGGTCTCAGAGATAGGTCTAGACAATGATCATGATGCTGACTCATCAGGGGAATTGCTGCCCGCTGTGAAAATGGACCGGAATTGGACAGACGACGGTGGAAAGTCCAGAAACATGGACAGCTCATAGATTTGGAAACGACCTTATCCACCCGTACCCTCCTTTTTCCAGTTCCCCCAGTTCTCAGCGATTTTAGACCGCCGAGATCCTTTACCGAGCTCTCAGAGCGACTCGTCCCCGACAGACTTGCCATGGCTACCACCGATGACGTGGGTTATCTAGAGCCACTTGAAAAGGTGACGGCTTTAATTTACTTTTGCTAGACCCTGCCAATTAATCTGACGTTGCGCGCCCCTTGTAGATCTTTCAGCAGGTAGAGGAAGAGAGCGAACGACGCGCTCAAGAGGAGGTCGAAACTCAAAAATTGACACAAGAAGCGCTACGGCAGGTGGATACGGATGCCACCATAAAACAGGTAAAAAGGCGGCGGAGAGGGAGCGTGTCGATATCGCGAATAGGACAGGTGAGGGTCGTTGTTGGCGCTGAGAATGTTATTGACATGTTCGTGACTAGTTGGTTGAAGAGTCTTTGCCCTCACCAAACCGATTGACGAAGATCTCCTCCAATTCACCCTTTTACCAAGCGCAGATAGATGTTAGTCAAGTCTCCCTGTGTCTTGCGTGTTTCCAGTGTGCTGATACGAGTTCAGAATGCCAGCGACAACTCAATCGCGTCTGGCGCCTCCGCCTTCTCTGACGATAACGCGCATGCAGAAGACCAAACCCATGTCACACAGATGCATCGAATAGCGGGTAAAGAGAGTCTCACCAAGATGATTCCCCGGAAGCTGAGTCGCGCACGCTCAGAAGTGATACCTGGCACGGCCGACGGGGGTGTGGTCATCGGGGTATTAGTTCAAGAGGCTACTGTGCATTCCATCCTCACCGACGAGGATGAGCAGGAGCCTAACACGACGAGTCGTGTCAGTGTCCATGCGCCAGGGAGTATTCGGCACCAGACATCGCGAATGACGATATCCGGTCCGACACCAGTGACAAGCACTTGGGTTGAGAGAGCCAAGGGATTCACGCAAAAGTTTCGCCGGAAAAAAGCAACGAGCGCACCCCCCGCTCGCCTCGCAACTTGATGATACGAGTAGGGCAAGATCGCAGGTTCTCTTCTCTTACTTCGAGTCATCGATATGGTCTTGGTTGGCAGTTTGGCTATCCCACTGTAATTTCCTTTCCCCTCGGTTTTATAGTGGACATTTTTGGATCGAGTGTGGTTTCATTTAAAGATTTTGTGTGTCCCCGGTACTTCTCCAAACGATCAGTGTCCTGCCAGGGGCGTGCTCGATTCTTGATGAGCTCGTAAAATTACTAAATCAGAGTTGCGAGGCAGCACGTGCCAAGGACATGATAACGGCGTATGTACAAAACAGGACTAAACTCCCTCCACGATGTCAAGTTTTTCGGGACAATTGCCGTTTGACACTATGACCTACAAAAAGGGTCATACTCCCTGTCCCAATATAAGTCAGCCGCTCAAGCAATTCTGCCCTGCCTTCCCCCCCAGCGCCACTCTCCTTGCAGCGGAGTCGGAAGGGCACCATGGTTAGTTCTACCCACCTTCAAACGCCCGAATATTGGCTTCCAGAAGACATTGTACGCTTTTCGGGTGCGCGCCTATCGATGGGCTTCAGCCATGCTACGATGAGCAGGAGCAGCAGCAGCAGAAGTAACGGTGGCCACCGGAGACAACAACCAGCACCAACGACGGTAAGCATCTATCTGTTCACGGGGGTATGCCTCATGGTCACCGGCGCTAACTTTACACCAGCTGCGACATAAGCCCAGCTCATCAACCCTAGACAGTGATCCTTGCTCCGCTGAGATTTTATCGTGGTCAGCACTTATCAACGCCCAAATGTATTCCCCTTGCATCCAATCCGTGCCCACCGACATCTCCCGGCCCGTGGTAAACGGGGAAGACGCGGCCTCGCTACTCTCGATGTGTTTTGATCCCACAACTCTGGACATGGGTTTCGATTACACATGTCTAGACGGGCTCGACGACATGCTTCTTCGTAGTCCTATAGAAGCCTTTACTGAGGCTTGCTGGGAAGATGCGGTTCGGGTCTCCACGCACCCTGACCGCACTTCCACTCCAACTCCGTCATGGAGTCTCGACTCCTCCATTAAATTCAAGACGAAAGACGTACGCGAATCGCGGACTCCAACACCAGTCGACATTACCTTCAACTCGTCTGACGAGTCTGATGAATCTGACTCGGACGAGTGTAAGACGTGCCATGAGGATGACGAAGCGGCCCTGTCTTTCAGAGCCCCTCCCATGGACAAAACGAACAATCACCACCATCATCAACATCATCACCCAGCAGTTGTGCGTCTTTTCCCCATTAGCCCCGTGCCTGTCGGGTTGACGAATATCCTGCAGGATGAGGGCAAGAGCCTGATGTTCGATGATCCCACCGATCAACTTGCATTGTTAGGGTTGGAGCTCGATGCGTCTGCGCGAGCTCGGCACTTTCACGTTACTGACCCGAATCAAAGTGTCGGGTACTTTCCCATGCCTGTGAAGCAGAAAAAGCCATTGTTAAGCACGGGCAGAATTGCAGCGTTCTGGGGGGGCTTCCCGAAACCGGCGCGGATGGTGGTGGTGAAGTCCTCGCCGTGATTATTCCTTTCCTCTGGTTGGTTTTTTCTTTCTTTTTGATCCTCCCCAAACAGCTCATCTTGAATTTGATCAGATTTTTGTTATCTGTACTCACGCCCTACATTCTCTTCGGCTGCACGTTATTCCACGCCCTTACTTCCTCCTCTTTCCGGAACGACATCTTGTATACCACCCATCACTCACGATTGAGCGACGATTGTACCAAAATTCACATCATCTCCACCGCCACACACTCATTTTTTTTCTCTCCTCTTATCTCGGTTCTCACACTAAAATCGCACACTCCCCTTATTGCTTATTTTATCTCCCCCACCATGTACTTCTTGGATCCGGACCAACCTTGCTTGGCGCGATGGATGGAGGGGACGACGATGCGGTATCTTCAATGTTACTCTAGTACATAATACCGCCACTTATTGTTGTAACAGAGATGTATGCTCCTCTCCTTATCGTGCATGCGATGGTTATGTATTCCCATTCCGTATACCGCCCGTCCGCCCTTCGCCCAGGTTTAAATTAAAAAGGGTTTGGGCGTCTCTCTTACAATTCCGGTTGTGCGCGTGGCCGGTTGGGAGGCACATCCAGGGGAGATGCAGGCCGATGAAGGTTTGACGGCAACCGTGGAAGAAAACAAGCCATTCCGCAGATCAGGCTCACTCAAGCGTCAGGATGTTGCCCTTGTCAATTGTCAAGGTGGGTTGTGCGCGTGACCTCGAATTCGATGGGTCTGAAAGTCCTACTGTCGATCGTGTTCCGTTGATCGGAGCCCCAGGAAATTCTACGCGCAATCGTATGCCCTGGGGTACGAATACAACGGTCTCCTTTATTATTTGTGGGCTCAGTTATGGGTGTCGGCCGACAAATTCAAATCATTCTATCAATGGGTCCTATTTTTCGTTATCCAGGAACTCAAAATACGTGCCCCATTCCAAAAATGTCTGGTACATGCCTTCGACCTTGTTCTTGATTCACTCGTTGTTCAGGGATACATGGGTCAAAAGTTGTGCAAAATTTGACATGGTGTACGATGGACCTGAACTCCGAGCTAGTATCTCTGTTGGTGGTCAAGGCAGTTTGATGAAAACTGTCTTTTGAGTGGATAGCCGGCGGAAGGTACAGCCGCTTTTCAATTGCAGCCATTAGCGCTAAAAATCTCAATTGAGGAGAGGTCCGATAGGAGGACCCCCGAAAATCCTGCTAAATGGTAGATACCGATCCGGACAGAATTTTTCAAAATGAGGCGCTAGGATAGATACAAACCGGACAGGTTTTCGAAAAAATCAGCAAAATGCTAGATACAGAATCCGGACAGGCTTGCGAGAAGAATCAGAGGCTAGATACTAACCGGACAACTATGGTCGCGTAGCTCAACGGAAAAAAAGTATGTACTTTACGAAGCCTGACGTGTGGTCTGCGGTTCGAACCTTTTGCCGCACAAAAAAATTTGGCCCTGACTTGGGCTAGATACGCAGTTCGGACAACTTTTCGAAATTTTGGTCTAGGCTAGATAAAATCCGGACAGACTTCGCCAAAATTGGTACGGACAAGAATCTGGAAATCGGCAATTTCAGTATCTATCATTTAGCAGGATTTTCGGGGGTCCTCCGATAGGTCGCACTAGGACTGTGAACTTAGCCTCAATCATGAATAAATTACAGCATACAGTACTTAATGAGCGCTGAGCAGTGTATGCATGCATCGCCGGTGATGTCCGTGAAGCAAAAAAACATTGATATTGAGATCCGAAAAAATTCTCATTCAAGATAAGGAGAAAAAGAAATTTTATCCAGACTGTAAGGACCTCCCTGCTGCGTTCTTTTCTCTCGTGAAGACAGCATGACCCAATTTGGGTTGCGAACAAATAAAGTTCGGTGGTAAACCACACCAAACCAAACAAACGCGTCCTAAAAACCAAACAAACGCGTCCTGAACCAAAACAGTCACGATTCCTCGTCCAGCATAACCACTGCAGCGCGCCTACGGGCGCAAAGCTCGCTACGGCGATTATGTATTGACCAATTCAAATAATATTTGCGTTATCGACTCACCCGCCACAATTGTTTGCGGCAGTTGGTCATTTATGTGACCGTCTAATGGCTGCGAGGAGCATATTATATTGGAGAAGGAAATGATCTGTTTAATATTAGCTGGCATGGCTGCTCCTCGCAGCCAATGCAATTTGAAGTTTGAACACTTCGAGTCCATACGAGCAACATACGAGTCACTTAGAGGGCGCCAAACATGGCTAAACTTACCCACGCAAGAGCTTTGGTGGCTCGTAGGGTAAAACCCGCTACTCACGTAGCGAGCATTGGGAAGTCTGGCTTAGGTGAAGAAAATCACGACTTCGGACTTCTTCAAAAAATAACCGCCCGAAAATCAATATCATTGCCACCATCAATTAGTACGACGTCGGCACCGGGCACGTTGAACCAACACATCTCAAGGCTTCTGATCAAGGTGTGCTTGTGACTTTTTATTCTCGTATTTCCATGTCTTATCTAATACCCTGCCCGACCGAGATGATCCCCACCCATACCCCACATGTTACCCAGTACTCATCTTCCTTGCAAACGAACTCTTTATGCAAGGTTCTCGACGATATGGCTACGGGAAAAGAGATAAATAATTTGTACGGGTTTATCGAGGCTCCTGTAAGGGCTTGGGCTTGAATCTCACGAGGTAGCGTCGCGGGTTCTCTGTTATCATCAATCATTCACTTAATGCTCCCTATTGCATGATCGCCGTTTTCTTGAGAAGGTATAATGACCAAAAGACCTGCAACTTCCATGCGTGGTTTTGATCCCGGCCTATGCAACGAGTTCTGTTATCATAAAGGCGCTTATCGATTCATGAAGTCTGATCCTCCACGAGGCATCCAGCAGGCAACAGGTTGTGAGAAACATCTTTTGCTTTGCGACTATGGAGTTCTCCTCGACGAATGCAGAAGATCCGTTCTTTTCAGCTGATTTCACTGGCCCGCTAGACCCCCCGCCGGGACACAGTGTTGATAACGTTGAGAGAGAAGATGTGGTGGTACGAGATGAGGACTTCTATCATGACTACGTGATTTTCTTGGTGTGTGCACTCTCGAGCTATTCGTTCTTGCGCGCCAATTCTGTGACAAACAGGTAGAAGGATCTCTTTTCAAGGTTCCGCGGTTGCATTTCATTCAGGAGTCCGAAATCCTCCGAGAAATGTTTTTGTTCCCTCCACCCGAATCTTCAGTCGTAGATGGGCTGACGGACGAGCAACCGTTGTGCTTGGATCACATCCTCAAGGAGGATTTCCGCCAACTTTTAAAAGTGTTTTATCCTCGGTGAGTCAGGGAATGCGGAATTACCCCATTTTTTTAATCTTAGGCAAACAGAAATTTTCGTCGGGAACTAGATTTAAATTTGGAGGAATGGACGTCAGTCCTCAAGTTATCTGATATGTGGGACATGGACAATGTTCGGGAATTGAGCATCTCAAATCTGACACCGCTCCTGGAGTGCAAACCTGCTCACCAGATTGCACTTGCTCGTAGATTTCATGTTGACGAGTGGCTTCTGCCAGCGTTCAAGGGCCTAGTGTATAGGGACAAGCCTGTGGATGAGTTGGACATGGACGAGCTGGGGGCGAGAACTGCTTTGAAAGTCGCAGCGATCAGAGAAGAATTTTTGCGCCTCACTACGACCACCTACCGTAACGGATACGGCAATCAGACAACCTCGCAATGGAACCTTGAATCTGGGCGGGGCGAGATTCCTTGGGGAAGTTCTGAAGACAGTTTAACAGATCGACTTAGGGAGAAGTTTGGCGAAACCTTCAATCAACTGTAGGAGAAAGGGGTAGCGAAATGGTGAGCGGATAGCTTGAGCAGGGTGACGCTTGTCGGCGGTGTACAATCAAGTCAACTGGCATGTGACAAAACTCTAACACTCTCATTGTATTGTTTGATAGTAAATGCAATTTCATCGTTGCATTTCCGAAGTTATTCTCGGAAGATGGATAATATCTCCATTTCCTGAAAAGCCAGACATTAGAATTTCTCTAGCGCTGCGAGCCTACTTCAGACCTACAACTATGTTCAGTCCCTATTTTTTGCACACTGCATAAGCAGCGTGGCCTGTATCGCTTCTATCGATACAGATAAGCGCTCTTGCTTGCTTCTGTCGGACCACTGCCCCCGACCTCAGCCCCCGCATCCAAGAGGAAATAAATTCAAGAAAAAGAAGTAAGAGGCGTCAGGCGAAATGAACTTGACTCGCGGTTTTGTGGGTACACGGTGCCGGTGATTTATCGCAGTCTCGACCAAATCTCGATGGAAAAAGGGTGTGGGATGTACTAGAGTCTAGAAATATGCAAGTCAGTTTTGACCCCAAATCGTTATCGATTGGCACTAAGTAGTGTCCGGGAACAAATTCAAAAGTTAAAACAGACCACCTCCACTCATGTCAGACCCACAACACTTGAACGACGGTCTCTCTGCAAGGCACCCAAACTACTTCCTGGACATGGTCGTTTTTGCGGTGGGTTGATGTCTACGTTTTGCATCACCCTTGCGTCAACTGTATTTTACACTATTTTCAGGTGGAAGGGTACCTCTTTAAAGTTCCAAAATACCATTTCTTAAACAAACGTGACTTTCCGGTGAATCTAGGCCAACACCAGCAAGGAGCTGATGTGGAGGGAAATGATGAAACAAACCCCATCGTCCTCACAGGAGTAACAAAAGTCGACTTTCAGAATCTTATGAAGATCATGTATCCCTTGTAAGCCTTATGCTTCTACCGGCACTGACTGCAATGTTATTCTTCACCTTCATTGTAGAAAAATTTGCGATACACAAAGCTTGTCGTATGATGAATGGGTTTCAGTCTTGAAGCTGTCTACAAAATGGCGATTTGTTGAGTGTAGACAGCTGGCAATCGCAGAATTAAGCGCTTTGTGTGGTGACTCTCCCACCACAAAAATTCTGCTGGGAAGAGAATACCGGGTTTCGAGATGGCTGGTGTCCGGATACGAGCAGCTCGCCAGACGATCTCAGATGATCTCTCACGACGAAGCCAAGCTCATCGACTATACCACAGCTTTCTCTGTCTGCATCGTGAGAGAAGAAATCAGCTCTTCCTCTTTGAATTGTGTGGAGGCCATCCGTCGCGAGTTCGAAAAGGAGCTCACAGATATAGAGGCAGATGAACGTGGTTATGGGTCGGCGGATTGGTGGTGACCTCCACGCTGTCGCGTGTTGATCAGGTGAAGAAAGATGGACATTCGTTCTCTGAAATTTGTGACCCAGGCAGTTTTACCACAATAAGAAAATCGCATTTCTAACAGTGCTAGCCGCAAAGTGGACAAGGAGTCTAGACATTGGCGATTCCTGAGCCGGTTCATCGGTTTTTTCTACCGCCAAGAAAAGGCGTGGGCTTCTTGGTGGCATCTGTCCTACGTGTCAGTGAGTGTGAGCACATCGCCAGAAAGGAAGGAAAAAAAAGTTATAATCACGGAACATAACTTACTATTGCGGTATATTACAAAAATTCTTCTCTGTGAGAAAGAAAAGGGATGGATTGGGGATGGACGTTAGCATGATCTTGTCAATGCGATTCGGGTTTCAGCCAACTCACAGCATCACTGACGGTCTTTTTCAAACAATCAGCAAAGGACGCGAATGTCACGGTGGCTGCCAGACTCACGGATGTCTGTAGCACCACTTTGAAACCACTGCCAGCCTGAGGTGGATCGGCTGTCTACGTTTCCCCAGCGCATCCTCTTCTAGAGCATCGGGTCTTCACTGACCGCTCCAACACCTCCTTCTGGTCACAGGACAAACTGGCGATCATTGATCACCTCCTGCCTTTGGCCAATGGGTCCAGGGCAAAAATAAAGCCAGTGGGTCACCTAGTCATTTGAGGAGTCCATCGCTGTTAACTTCCAATTATCAGCTATCGTAAACCCCAGTATTGGTCGAAGGGGAGTTACCTTCAAGTGGCATGGGTTCAAGGTCAGAGTGGCGAAATTGCGACGTATGTATGAGCATAGCTTAAAATAAAGGTGCAGCACGTGCCGGCTTCTTCTCATTGTATACCGCCGTTACGCGTCACACAGATTCCAAAAGAAACTTGAAAGAAACCCAAAGACCGACGAGAGCAAGATGGTGGCAGACACCTCATGCCCCGGCCCTCTCAGTTCGCCATCGGAAAACTGAAGTCTTTTAAGCTTGTACAGCTGTGGTATTATGCGCCGAAGCACAGGATGCGAGCAGAGCCCAGTCCGACGACTCGGACGCGTACGGTCTGACCAAGATAGACGACCTCGTCGCACTCAAGCCAGTCACTTCGTTCAAGGCTCTCAAGAATGTTGTCCCAGACGCTGACCTCACCTGGAGGCAGATGAACTTTGGCAAGAACACTATACTCTGCTTCATGGGCCTTTGCGACTGGCTGAAGAAACACGTCGAGTCCTTTGCTCATTTTTACTTCAAAGTGAAATTCAACTCGATGCGCTCACGGCCAAACGGCGAGAGCGTTCTCATCACGTACCAGGCCAGAGTCAGAAGACAGTGGCACGACGACGTAGTGAGAGGTCAAGGCTTCAACATCGCGCCTATAAACCTGAAGCCCCTCAACACAGCCCCAGAGAAGGGATGGGATATGGTCAGGCTCGACGCGATCAAGAAGGTTAGTAGTTACTCCAGACCAACCCCACCTTCTCTAACCTTTCCTCCCCACCTCACCCAACCACTCTCTCGCTTTTCACCTGCCACATCGCTATGCCATGCCATACTGCCACATCGCTATGCCATGCCATACTGCCACCTCCTGGCCAACGCTTCACCATGCCATCCCAAACCATGCCCGCCTGCCATGCCACACCTATGTACACCTCTACCATGCTATGCCATACCCCATAAAACCCCTGCCATGCCACACCTACACCCTTGTCATGCCATACATGTGTCATGTCACATATTGCGTGCACTGATAGCCCCACTGGCTCGCCTTCGCTAATCATCCAATCGTGTACGATCGCTCCTTATTGTCTCTGGTACATTATACAGAAAGTTGATAATCAACATGGGCTACTAGATTTCGTTGTTGCATCTCCTGATACACCTCACTTTGTGGCAACACATAGTGAACCTCAAAGATAGACCTCAGCGGAGATTAACAGAATGTTACATCTAGCCAGGGCAGTCCCGAGGGTCCGCACCCATCCAAATCCTCTCCAAATCCCTCGACATATGTAACCCAGCATTGAGTTATTATTACTCCGTCTTTCGTGGGGGCTGTCGCGAAGGATTCGAAGAACTATCCTGGACAACTGATTGACTTCAAACCTTTACAGTGTCGTTACTTGTAAGGTTCCGGTCCACCAAATATTTCTTCAATGCTGATTTTGCAATTGCCATACATCTCTCAAAGGTCTCACGACTTAGACTTCGACAAAGCCACCGTATTAAGCAAGATCTAGATCCCAGAGAGATACAACACCCCGAGAATTTGGGCACGTTTCGTTATCTTTTCCCATCCGCAGTGAAACCGGATTGCCTTGTGGCAGCCTCATGTATGCGACGTAAACAAAAGTAAGGCGGAGTTGTCCATATCAAGTGCTCGTCTTAACCACAACAATGCAGCTCCTGACCAATGTCTGAACTCGCATCCGGATCGGTAGAGTCGACTTCAAAAGATGAATTATATTTTTTGCCAAGCGTTACTTTCTTAGTGAGCTTCTCATCGTTGTCAACTGATTTATCTCGATCTTAAACTGGCCCGGTCAGGTGGAAAATTGTCTTTTTCGAGTACCGAAATATCACTTCTCCAACGGTTCCGAGTTTTTTGCCAAAGAGTATGTATCTCCCTACAGGTGGTTCTGAGGAGTCTGAGGAACCCGTCGCTCTGCCGAGCGACATCACAAAAACTGACTTTCAAAATTTTCTTAAAATTCTGTACCCTCTGTGCGTCTCAATTCTTATTTCCGTATAGTTTCCTTGACCCATCACTGTAGCCAAATTTCTGCAATATTGTCACTCACAAGAGCTGAATGGATCTCCGTGCTCAAGCTATCGACCTTGTGGAAATTTGACGAGGTTCGACTGCTCATCAGGAAAACTACACTTCACTTGTTGGGCTTACATCGCTTGTGATCTCACTTGAATCACTTCGGCACTTGATGTTACAGCCACAACTTCCTTTCAAACTCGAAGTGAGTCCAAGTGGGGATTCAAGTCACTCACGTCAGTAAGTCGTAAGTGCCCGCGCTCACAAAAGCCATCGGGATGCTCAAACACGCTACTTAGAAATTATTCCTAAGTGCATTCGAAGTCCGACGACATGTGACAATGTTGAAATTTTCACCATCGGTTTTTCTTTTCAACGTTTATCATAACTGAGTGGTGTCCAACCTGCCCTCGCCAAATCCCAATGCAGTCTGTGCTTGCTCGCTCGCTCACCGACATGGAAAACGAACCGTAGTCATCACGCGCTCGACATTTGCTGGTGCAGGACTGAGTCCGCTGTCCAGCAGGACGTTTTGGGTGTGTCTTTCCTCCTCTTCGCTTTGTATTTTGATAGGGCAAGCTAACATGCATATCCTATCTTACAGACAAATGCAAAACATATTGACGGTCTCACAGAACACGATGACGAACCTTAGCCATCACACGCTCGACCTTCGCTAGTGCAGGATGGTTTTCTTGTACTTCTAGAGGGGAGGAAGTTGATGTTGGGATACAGCGGAGAATACGACAACCTTGGTCATCTGGTCTGTTCCCTGAGTGGTACCTACCACTTTTATGATAAAACCTGGGCATTTGCCTGCACAGTCTTTTCAATCCCCCCAAGTGAAATATGAAATGAAATGCCTAGGCTATTTCATTCTTGCTTTGCAGCTATTTCATTCCTACCCACCACATTTTTCATTTCTCCTTGGCAATGAAATGCATTTCATTCTTTTGCCTGTGCTTTTTCATAACTTTTTCATTCTTTGCCAACTTTATTTCTTTTCTTTTCATTCTTTGCCAGTATCATTTCATTCTTTTGCCTGCGCTTTTTCATAATTTTTTTTTCATTCTTTGCCAGTCCTATTTCATTCCATTGCCTGCACCTTTTCATAACTTATTATTTCATTGTTTGCCATGTTTAAGGTTAGGGTTGCACTTAAAAAAAATGAAACTCATTTCATTGCTTCTCTAAGCCTTTTCATAACTAGACACATTATTTGTTTGTAAATAATAAACATATGTATTCTCAAATTATTAGCTATAGTTTGACCTAATCAACCCCTGGCTTGTGATCTTTACATTTGTTTGTATTTGAGGCCATAATCTAACTTAATTGAGCAATAAACATGTAAATTGAGGCAACTAAAAGATCACATGTCTTATATTTTGATCCCATCATAACCAAACAAATACATAAGTTATGAAAAAGCACAGGCAAATGAATGAAATAAGACTGACAAAGAATGAAAAAAATTATGAAAAAGTGCAGGCAAAAGAATGAAATGATACTGGCAAAGAATGAAAAGAAAAGAAATAAAGTTGGCAAAGAATGAAAAAGTTATGAAAAAGCACAGGCAAAAGAATGAAATGCATTTCATTGCCAAGGAGAAATGAAAAATGTGGTGGGTAGGAATGAAATAGCTGCAAAGCAAGAATGAAATAGCCTAGGCATTTCATTTCATATTTCACTTGGGGGGATTGAAAAGACTGTGCAGGCAAATGCCCAGGTTTTATCATAAAAGTGGTAGGCACTAGTGGTTCCCTTCTCCCCTCCCCACCTGTCCCCTTTTCGCAACTTCACCCTACCCAGGTACCACCTCCTCGACTACGTCTACACCGCCTTCTGCCACCCTCATATGGAGATCCCCACCGAGCCAAAAACAATCTGGTTTGTTCCCTTCTTCTCCGCCTGTCCCCTCCTCATGACTTTACCCTACCCAGGTACCTCGACTACATCTACACCATCTTCCGCCATGCTCATATGGAGACTCCCACCGCCGTCTTCACCGTGCCCAGATTCCGAGCTCATTCGCATTAGATGGAGGTGGCGGCAATCCCATCGCCGTTTTCGCCGTGCCTACATATTCGACATTTGGGTATGTCTCCTTTTCCCTTCCCTTCCACGTGATCTTATTTTCATGCAGGCTGAGCGCGCGTTCAAGTTCTGGATCACGGGGGTTTCTACTGCCGGCATTCCGGATCGTAAGGAAGAAGCAAAATTCTCGGAGGACAACTGGGGCGCCAGCACCGTGGGCTACATCGATTCTATCAACAAATTGTCACGAAGACAATTCGCGCATCGAGGGGATAGGCATTGGCACTGTGAACGAGTGAAACAGGTCATTTTGGTTTCTCCATGAGCGAGACTGAAGGGTGGGATGTTGGGTTGTGGGATGTTTGGCTTTCTACGCATTTCAGAGGTTCCTTGAGCTGCTACATTGTAGGTAGACATTGGTACCATTTAATATACTCTTTTACCCTACTAAATATACCATTCTGTGTGAAATTGGGAACAGTTCGAGACTGCTATTTCGTCACTTGGTCACTTTTGAGATCAACTTGACATACAACTTACCCACTTGAGTCTTCACTTGCATCAAGAGGAATCACTTGGCCAAGGCAGCAACCTACTTAGCCAAGTGAGTTTCCTTTGGCCACTTGAGTTCACTTTTGTCACTTGGCCACTTGTCAAAGTGACCTAAGTGACATAAGTGGACGTGTAGTTTTCCTGATGCTTGCAATATCACAATTAAACGATATGAACTCCCTAGATGCTGCCGAGCGCGTCAATCTGGGCAAACGTTACATTATTGCTGCCTGGGTCGTCAGTGGCCTTCAACACTTGATCACACAACATGAATCCATACATTCTGCTCGTACAGCAGAGGAAATCGGTGGTGATACAGCCGTGCGTTTGTGCCGTCTTCGTGAGGACTATCGTCAGTCGCGATTGGCGGTGCCCCTCATTTCGGCTATGGGGCAAGTCTGCCCGGAGGAGTTGAGAGCTTTGGGGTTGGGAGATGATTTTCTTGAGCCACCTCCCCGGCTGTCGGATGTGAAATTTGACTGTCCTCCCCCGTCTGATGGTCCAGATGGCAAAATGCGTAAGTCTTTGAAGAAGAAGAAAAAGGGGAGAAATAAGATGGGTAATGGGTACTTGGACGCAAATTGGGAGAGTTGACTTTATAATTACATCTTGTATCAAGGATTTCGAGGATGGCGAATTAGGCTTTCATCTTTCGTTCTTTTGTAAAGCTTCCACTATGATCCTGAGATCTTAAGCCCCCAAGTTCTTCCCAGAATAAAATTCTTTTTTCAGCACAGGGTTTTCGGTTTTAAAATAAATGAATACTCAGCTTTCACCTCATGTTCGTCCTCGTGGTGAAAGTGTCATTGTGAATAAGGTCAACGATCTTCTTGGACTAAACCATCCCAGGCCCTCAGTCCATGCCTTCCATTAAACATCCTGACTATTTTCTTGATACGATAATTTTTTCCGTATGTGGCGATGGTTTACTTTACTATAGTGGTGCGATGAAGATTATCATTGTTGTGTGGCAGGTTGAAGGATGCCTCTTCAAAGTACCAAAATATCACTTCGTCAGAAGTGCTGCAATATTCCCTGTCAGCTTGGACCAGCCCCAGGAGGAGGTCTTGAATGCCGAAGGGTATAGTGAAGAGAGTCCAATATTCCTCCCAGGCATGACGAAGGTTGACTTTGAGAATTTGATGAAGATTTTGTACCCCTTGTGAGTTAATGTTTTTTTTATTCGATCTCGGATCCGTCCTCGAGTTTGACCAATGACCACCATCAGAAAAATTGCGCGCAGTCAGACTTTGTCATGCACCGAATGGGTCTTTGTTTTGGACCTTTCTACCAGATGGTACTTTGTGGAATTCAGGAGGCTGGCCACAGCAAAGATAATGACCATATGCGACGACGTCGTTGAGAAAATTCGGTTGGGAAAAAAATACAGGGTTTTTAGCTGGTTGCTCTCCGGATACGAGCAACTTGCCAGACGTACCGAGAAGATCTCAGGCTCTGACGATGAAGCAAAAATCATTGGCTATCTTACAACCATATTTATCTATGGTGTGAGGGAAAAGGCCTACGGACGCCCTGATTATTCTCCGCTCGATTATGAAAAGACCATTCGGACGACTTTCGCGCAGGAGCTTGCAGATGTGGAGGCAGATGAACGGGGTTATGGGGCATCATGACGGGAACAGCAGTGAATTCATGTTGCAGAGATATCTCGTACGCTTAGGCAAGAATATATTTTGACAATCCCTAAAGATGCTATTGCAAGGGTTCAAATTCGTCCGGACGGAACTTCGACGGCAACCACCGCCTCAGATTGGCCTCAGAGGACTTCAAAGTATTAACCGCAGCGTGAGAGTCGCACTAGCGTTCCAAATGCCGCACTTACTGCACTTGCTGTGGACACCACCACAATGTCTACTACGTCGACGCATGATGCACCAGAAACATTGCCGACTATCTCGAAAGACAAAATGTATTATTTGGAGCATGTCGTGTTTCAGGTGATTTTTTGGTCTCTTTTAATGTACTAAGGAGATAATCGAAGGTGGAATTTCTTCCAAGGTGGAAGACAGCCTCTTCAAAGTTCCAAGGCATCACTTCTCTGAAAATTCGGCCGTTTTCGCAACGACTTTCACCTTACCCCCTGGAAATGATAAGCCGGTAGAGGGTTGTAACGAGAACTACCCGTTTAAATTGCAAGGAGTCAAGAAAGCCGACTTCCAGGCCCTCTTGAAGGTCTTGTACCCATTGTGAGTCTCCAGTCGATCGTAGCTTACAAGGCTTAACCGTAGGCCACGACGATGCCAATAGACAAATTCCTTTCTCCTATTTCAACATTTCATTCGATGAATGGGTGTCGATTCTTGGATTGGCTACCATGTGGGAATTCAGTGTTTTGCGAAAACTGGCGATCAAGGAGATGGCTGCAAAGGGCATGGATCCAGTTAGTAAGGTCATGCTCGGCCAGAGATACGGGATTTCGGATTGGTTTAGGTCGGGGTGCTTGAACTTGGCAACCAGAGCTATGCCAATTACGCTGGACGAGGCGGAGAAGATTGGGTTGGTTACGGCGATCCGTCTATATCAAATTCGAGATGGAGCGGTCAGCCAACTGTAAGGCTGTATTAGATAATACAGCTGTCTACACTACCTTATATATGCAC